AGAGAGAGAGAGAGAGAGAGAGAGAGAATGGTTTATTCAACAAAAACCTTTGCAGCACAAGTGCTGAATTGCGGTTTCCTTACACAAAATCTTAGGCTTATTAGCATTATGCACTGCAAATCAGAATTAACAAAGTCACAAATCACTATAAAATCAAATAAAACACTACCATCACGACTTACAGTTCTGCTACTTTAACTGTCATTCAGCAGGCGGACACAATAGGGTAGTGTACTGTTTAACATGCGCTGTGTCCGGCACTTAAACTGTGTCAGTTTCGTGCTGTTCCTTAGTGTTCTATTATGTACATCCCCCTTTGTGCTGGCAGCCAATTACGGTATTTCTCACTGCTTGTGTATTAGAGTGTTGTTTGAGAGGTTCAGACGATCTTGGCGTGTCCTAAAACGCTTACGATGCATTGAAATAGCTGTAAAGTAAACGCACCGTCCTGGTCCAGTCTATCGAAGAAGTTATCCAGGTTTCCGTGGTTGTCGTGCGCCTCGCCAAAACTGACCACCCCGTCGTCGTTGTCGTCTTGATCGTGAATGAAGTCTTGAGTTTCGGAGCCCAGGAGTACGGCAAGCTCAACCGAGGTGAGCCGATGGTTCCCTGCAAATACAATTGGTAATCAATTTGAATGAATGAAAGACCTTTATTGTACGTTTGTGCTCTAACAAGCTAAGTACAGGTCATGGGTAAAACAGGGAAAAGAATACAGTAATGACACTTACATACTATATATACTAATGTGATCTACTATTTACAGGTTCAGCTTCTTCTCGCTTCTTGACGTAGTTAAAGATGTACGAACATATTGAGCTAATGATACATGGTTTGTTAAGTTTCATGAGGAATTCGAATTTTTCTATTCTATCTAAATGTCTAAAGCTTGGGAACTTATCTATTACATAGGTATAGAGGGAATCCCTCTCATTTCTATATAATGTGCAGTCAACTACAAAATGGCATTCATCTTCAATATTATCTAGATTACAAAATTGGCAGATCCTTTGCTGTAGAGGAATTGACCGTCTTATTGACAATCTCAAGACTCAGCTTAGACTAAGATTAGAATCAGCTAGCCTGGTTATACTAAACCTATTTTAGCGCCTGAGTCCTGCATTCTTTCCGTGTATAGGAGTCGGGAGATATAATAGTTTTGGTAACCAGGCTAAGAATCAGCCATCCTTCCTCTTTAACCTAAACCACATCTGACAACGCAAGTCCACTGATTCCACTTAGCAAGGTGCCAGCTGTTGGAGTTTTTTTCAGATTTGAAAGGAAAAATGACACTTTCACATGTGAAATTAGTGGGCTTACGTCGCCAGATGTAGTGATTTAAAATTTGATTGAACGGGACAAAAATGTGCACATTAATACCTAAAAAATCATAGAGCCAACAAATCAAATTGATTTGGTCTACATTAAGAGCAAATGTATCTTTTGGGCAAATCTACGCCGTCATCTCGTCTCTCAGTCACTGACGAAAGGTAGTGGATGCTAGCTGAAACGTCTGACCGTTTCCAAAATCATATCCAGTTGCTTGAGTAACAGTTACTACTTTTGGCGTACCTACGCCGTTACTATACAGAACCGTGTCTGATTCTAACTCATTAACCGTAACAGACATAGACCCAGTATCCTTTTGGTACCGTCAGTGTCCAAGGCGTTCAGAACCTCGTCGTACGTCATGTGGCTGAGCACCTCCAGGCTGGAGAGTCTGCCGTCCCCGTTAGAGTCCAGAGGGTTATCTGGTGCGGGGCCGTTGTTGTTGTTGATGGTGTCGTAAATGTAGTTCAGCTGGTAAGCCTCAGGAACATTCAGCACCCCGTCACCTGTAGAGTCATTGATAAGTTTGTGTTATTTTTATTTTACCGGTTCGGCTGTTCAACAGTCGCTACCAAGGCAGCCAAACTAGCCAGTGGCTATTACAAAGGGCTTGACCTGCTGACAAGACAAGACAAGACAAAACATTAAAGGAACAGCAGTTGTATTGAAAGGCTATTCGCATTTATGTTTGTTTGTTGTTTCTACAGATTAGTGGGGACAGCCTCGTGCAACAACTGGGCCCAGAAGTGCCAGACTCAGACAAAACTGGAGTCAGTCAAGGGGGAGGGGGGCTCCTTCACAGGAGAGACAACGCCCTGAGTAGTTATTCTTACTCGAAATGTCTAGAAAGGCATTGCACGGGTATGCCAGGCGTCGTCTATTGTGGCCAACGGTTGGCAGTGACATGTAGTACATACGTACACTTAATTTAAAAAAGCACATTTGAAAAAAAAATGCCAAAGGTTTGCTCAAAAATGTTTTGAAAACTGGATACCTGGCATTTGCATGTCTTGTTGTGGCATACTGTCATTTGAGACATATCTTCAGATTCACTAAGAATTTACTATTTGGTGAAATATGGCAATCACAGGGTACACGATGGAAATACAGAGTTAACGTTACCATTAAAGTCGAACTGGTCGAAAAAGGTGCTCAGGGTCATTCCGTTTTCAATCTCTCTAAAGGTGAGGTGGTCGTCTCCGTCGGTGTTCAGTTGATGGAACATGGTTGGCACTCCCCACAGCTCGACGATCTGCGCCAGGTAGATGAACCCGTCTCCTGTACAAAGAGAAATCATAATGCATTCACGGCCTGAATCTATCTTGAAACTAATTATACAAGAAATAATAATCTCCAAGCAGATGTTTCGGTTGCTGGGCAGTATCCAGTAGCCAGACAATATCCATGGAGTGGCAAATGGATACTGCCTGGCTAAAGGATACTACCTGACTAATTTGATACTGTCTTTTCCGGCCACCGAAACATCTGTCACAGAAATAAATTTCAATTGTCCCGACGTAAGAATGAACTGCCCCAATCTGTTTTTTTTTTTGGGGGGGGGGAGTATTGTACGACTTCAACTTGCATTCAGTCAACTTTATTTTCCTTACGTTCACTCTCAGGCGCACTATATAATTGCAGGGTAGACAGGAAATTTGAGGGGGAATTTACCGGATCCAAAAGCCGGGACGTGTGCCCGGTAAACAAAAGAAGGGCTGACATTCTGATGTTGATTATTTTTCTACTGTCCCGAAAATGTCCCAAAATAGCTTTTTAGTTGCCCCAGCCTAAATTTTAGTGGTCAGTGGACCAACTTTAATTTCGAGCCCTGGCCGTTGTTTGCTTTTTTTATTTTTTATTCCAACATGTAATCACCAGACGTGGTGACGACACACTCAAGTTTTTTTTCAACTTATATTAATGCCGCCACCAACACAGGGGACAAATACACGACAGGACAATACTCATTTACACCTGAGCTAAGTGAGGAAAGTCGTGTAAAGTGCCTTTCCCAAGGGCACAAGATCGGTGGCATGTCAGGACTCGAACCCGGGACTCTTAGTTCCGAGTCGCGCACTCTGCCGCTACGCCACACGACCCCACACTTTTTTGCTTACCATCTCTATCCAGGGCGACAAGAGCCTCGTGAAGAGACATGGCGTTGAGAACTTCAGCCTTAGAGATCAGCCCGTCACCGTTGGCATCCAGCCCGCTAGTCTGTCTGTATGGAAATACACGAAGAAAACTGAGTAAAGAGAGTCTTTTTACACAACCAAGTCTTTTATTCAGCCGACGTTTCGGTGACCGTATGTCACCTTCCTCAGGGCATCGAAACGTCGGCTGAATAAAAGACTTATTTGTGCAAAAAGAGTCTCTTTACTCAGTGTCTTACCAACCTGATGAAACTATTCACGAACGAAGAAAACTTGTAGACATGTTTGAGCTGGAGTGCAAAGTAGAACTAGCCTCTACCAGGCTTCGGGAGGCGACTGAAAAGAGAAACTCCCTATTCGGCCAATTTCTACTCTTTCTAGCCGGTAGAGACTACAATAGAACCAGTCCGTATTGTTATAGAAGGATGACCCCATGCAAGTGTTAGTTAGGTGATAATTCTTAGTTGTGCCAAACATGTTTTAACCAATACTTGTGATTGCCACAACTCAAGCACATGGAAAACAGTCATTAAGGTAGTTGTTCAGTACGTACCTCTTTGCTGGAGAGGCGGTTGCCAAGGCAACGAACAGCAGAAGGAAGGGAGTCATGGTTGACTTGTCAGCTGAAAAGAGACCGCCACATGAACGTACAGTCATGCCATTGTTAAAGTAGAACTCTTACATATATTCTGTACGTAGGGCAGGGTGAAGTCATCCATACATGTATATCCCAATTTCTTCATGCTTACAGACAAAAAGAAAACTACTTTTCTCTTAACATTACAAAACCCACACATCACCGAAAAAGTGGGATTCTTCGTCTTCCACTGTCTCGAAAAAAGAAGTCGAACCCAATAAGTTAGAACTAGAGTTAAACGTTAGATTCCAATATTTAGGCTAGAGTAGTTACATGCTGTATTGTTACACATTGTCTGTTCTTTGTATGTCCACTTACATGTACTTGCAATTAGCCCACGGGCAAGAACTTGCAATAAACTTATCTATTTAACTTCGTTACACCTTTAGTTGTAGAAGACCATACAAAAGTCTTTTTTTTGTGTCAATGAAGAATCAATATAATCCCGCACTACACTTTACGACGAAGTTAAGAAGTTAACCAAAAAAGTCGGCACGGTGATTGCCACTGTAGTATACTTACCAGTCCTGACAACTTCAAATTCTGAATGTGAATTGTTCCGTGATCTGACGCCCTAATATACCGAATATCTGAGAAGGTGAGCAGGTTTTATCAGACAAATTGTATCAAAAATTGTGTGTCAATATTGCCGTCTATATATAATCATGAGGTCAAGGAAGCAACATTTATCGCAAAATAACTGAAGAAATGTCAAGGATGGTTGGATGTGTCTGTCTGTGCGCGAGCGCGCGTGTCTGTCTTTTTGCGTGTGTGTGTGTGTGTGGGGGG